ATTTGGGGAAACGTGATTTTCTACGTGCGCCCAAACAAACAGGCTATTAAGTTACGTAACGTGGTTCAATGCCTTTGTTGCTGAACGATGGCTAACGAGTTGAAAACTCTTGAAACAGAGTATTTATTATGAATTGTAAAAAAGGATAAAGCATAATTTTCAATAATCCACATTCATTTGCATGTAATTTAGAGGTAATGAAAGCATATTTTACGTAACTCTAATGGTATGGAAAGTACGATTAATGATGCAACGCATTCTGAAATCAGTGACAATATTCCAAATGATGGGAATCGATATACCATAATGCGCATATATATGTATATATATATATATATATATATATATATATATATTAGGGTGGTCCTTCATATGAACATTTTCGAATTTCCTTGCTCCCAAGGGCTCAAATGGTTCCAAATTGATAAAAAACAATTCTCTGAAAGTTTTAGCTCTTAATATTGTCTTTAGATAGAGCGCAATTCAATCAAAGTTTTGTATGGAAATAGCATGAAATTTTTTTTAAAAATTTTGAAGAGCGTTGAAATTCCAATAAAAATGACACAAATTTCACTTTTAATTCATTTGTCGCTAAGTTATACATATATATATATATATATATATATATATATATATATCATGTTGGTGTCTGTAACGCCATATCCTTTATCCTTGTACTCATCGCCTATTATTGGAAAATCTTTGGATACTTTATACATTAAATATATAGTAGATAAATTGCCAACGTGCTAGTCAAGTTCAAACCAGTTTGAATCCAGCTTTTATAGTTATTAGACGCCTTACCTTTATTTGTTGATTAAAATTGATGACTGAACGAACTAAATCATTTCATTACTTTATTAAATTCAGCCATCGCCTCTATAAAAGTTTTATAGCTTGTTCAGACGAATATATACCAATTTGTATCTCTTACTTTTTGTATTTATTGTTAGTTAAAATTGATCTAATACAATTAACATTTCTAGAAAATTATCCATTGCTAAACAATTTATATTAATAGAAAATTAAATTTCATAATAATACTTAATGTACAGTACCATTTTAATAGTATTGGTACGATATTAGTAGAATCTGTATCGAAATATGTACAAATTTTGCCGGTTTTCAAAAATTAAAACTGCCTGGACATTTGGCGTTATTTATATTGTTGCAAAATTTATCAAATGGTTCAATCTCACGTAAGGTTTGTGAAAAGTACCACTATAAAATGCAATTTTATAATTCATAGTAAATGTTAATTTATGAGTTTAAGTTTGCATATATTATATATTTTTTATTTTATTTTATGTAATTCGACAACAATGTATTCATCTGTTACTTATTCTTTTCAACGATTGTCACCAAATATTTATTACATAACATAATGAAATTATCAATTTATACTTTATTCACGTGTTATTTATTAATTATATCCAAGCTAGTACCGGGAGAAACATTCTGTATTACTACTGTGTTCTTTCAATAATTAGTAGTGATAGAAAATCAATAAATATAAATTAGACTGCAACCGCAAGTCATTTTACTCAAATAATAACATCGATTAAAATTATTGTCAACTTATTTGACTGCTTTGAGAACCTCTAGATTACCTTATACACTAAATACATCATTTTTATAAATCTATGGAATTGTTTCTTTTTATTTACAAAATATAGCCTAAATGACAACAGTTGTAAATTTTTATTTATCGTTTACTCTTTAAATAGAAAAGGAAAGAAGATATAATAAAATTAAATGAAATTAATTTAAAATTGTGTAATTTATTAATTTAAAATCAAATTTATTGGGAATAAATTGTAACTGATCTTTCAACAGCTCTCAAACGATGTAAAAGTAAACACGTGATTTAAAACGTGCCTCATATCGAATTAATAAGAAATATGTTGCCTGTACCTGTGACGATATACATATGCTTGCCATTTTTGACAATTAGTTTTTCACAGCATAGGCTTAAATTTTTGACTCAAGAGCATTATGATTTTTCTAATATTTAACTGTTTTGCTAGAAACTAAACTCGCTAAATTGACGAGATTGACTGGTGGTTTGTATAATGATTTAAGATGAAAATGTTAAAATATAATCTTATCAACATGATTAAATATTAGTAAATAATATTAATTATTTCTATATTCAAATTAATATATGATGCACCATATAAATGTGACTTGGAGAAAAGCACGTTGCCTGGCAGGCCATGCGCGGCACCAAGCACGTTGCCAATCCATATATAAAGATTTCACTTCGCAATACAGATCATAACAGATAAATAAAATATAACGGCATATTGTATACCTAGTGCATTTAAATGAACAATCTCGTACGTGCAAACAAATTCAAATTTAATATTATATATTTCACAATTACATATATTATAACATATTATATATTATCAATTAAAAACAAATACTAGATAGTGTCAATGTTGTATTAATTAATTCAAGTGTTAATGCGTTAAATATACCTTGATTACTATTTGTGAAGAGCAAACTAAAAAAGATTTTTGATGGATAAAACCCAAGAATCGTTCGTTTTAATACGATTGCCAGTCAGAAGGCTTTCCGCAAGAAGTGTTTCTCCTATACGAAGCGCTCCGTTAGGTGGTGATGTGGATAAAAATAATGGAGGCGCCAAATTATTCCGAGTTCTGGCACGAACTTTGTGTCGCCGTTCACAGAAACAAACGCAACAGGATGAGCTCGAGGATTACTCTAGATCTTCGAGTACAGATTCATTTTATTCTTCAGCAAATAAATTAACGAAGGGCGAATCCTGTTCCTCCGGCGAATCGTCGGGCGCGGATTCTGGGTACAGTAATAGGCGCGGTGAGCGCTTCGACGGTGAGAGCAATTCCAACTCCGGTTCTGGTAGTGACACGGGTAGTGATTCGGCTGCTCAAGGAAATACCGACGATTCATCTAGAGCAGTGGTTTTCCGGAAAGCTTTCCAAAAATTGAGTATATCAAGATCTCAAAGTATGGATGGCATAGCAATCGCTAAGCCGATTCGCAGGCAAAAGAAAACGGCGGCGCCTAAAAAAATATTGAGGGCTCCGGTAGTTTATACTTACGTTCGTGGCTTGTCCGGCTTGCCGACACAAAGGGTGCCACGAAATACACAATCTAGATCATGTTGTATCAATTCCAGTCCCAAGAAGACAAGATAAAAGTATAAACAAAAAATAAGCGTTTTTTATTATTTCTTTGTTCAAGCTTCTGAAGCTAAGTGATTGATTTATCAAATCAAATGTATGTGTTCAAATGGGTGTGTAATATATTGAATATTGTGCGTGTATGCTGACAATGTGAACTCTATTTTTCCCATTTTTTTCAACTAAAGTTGACTATCGATTATTTTACTTTATTGGCTATAAAAAGTACCAGTATATATATATATATATATATATATATATATATATATACTCAGAAAAATACAATATTTTGTTTTAATTCTCATAATTAGAGTTATTAAATTGATGGAACTATTATATCCATATATGATTTAAAAGAAAATCGAAATTTGCAATTTAATATCTATGTATATATATATATAACTAATAATATGATTGATTAGTTAATTTTTCTAATAATAATATTATATATTTATATTATGCAGCTTCTGCTGCGTCATAATAATTTTTTTATCTGTTCATAAAAATAATAAGTTTTTAATATTGCGATTAACTTATTGACATATGTTAGTAAATGTGTTAATCTATTTGTTACTCTACATGTTAATATTTGTGACATAATAAAAATTAGTGTTTTACACGAATGGTGTTACACGATATTATACAAAATTATCAAATATTTTGATATTTCATTTTTGCTTTTCATTTTTTTATTTAGTTTTTATCTTGATTGCTGAAGTTTTCAGTAGATTAGACAATTGTAAATTCAGTTTTGTATTATCCTTTTAAACAAACAATTTGTTTTCTTTTCAGATTTTCAACTAACTAACGATTACTGCTAATTCAAATATAGCATATTAATTCTATTTATATCAATTTATTGATTTACTATGTCATTTTTAATGGCCTTTTTCTTGAATACTTTTATTGAAAATTAAGCATATATACTCGTACATTGAAAATACTTCACATTATAGGTGTGTTTAGTTGTGTTTGGTTGCTATACGTTTTAGTATACATTCTATTCCATATGCACACATTGCACACCATCATAATACACAACTAAAATGCAAACAGTTCTTAGCAAATATATATGACCATAACTTTTTATCCTTCAAAGTCCCATGCCATATTCCCGAACCATAGATAATATTTAAAAACGATAAGTTAAATACTTATTTCTTTATTTTGACAAGATATATATATATATATATATATATATATATATATATATATATATATATATATATATAATATTCATTAATTAGCAATGTATAAATGACAGAGAAACGTAGGTATATATCTGACCGCAAAATTGTGGTAAGTGGGTCGTACGTGATTTTTTGATGCAGCGAACAAGCACTGCGGTTGATAACGTTGCTAAATCCGAACCTACCCCATCGAAATAGGGTGGGCAAGCACTGCCTGGAGTGGGCAAGCACGTTTTCATCGAAACTGCCATGCGCCAAACAAAGGAGCACGTTGCCCCGAGGGTATATAAGCCATCACAACACTCATGAAGACGACAGTCGGTCATTGATATCTCAGCATGACTAAGATGTGGATTTCACAATATCGAATCTAACGAAAACATACATTTTTCTATGATACCGTCTTCACCAATTATATGTATATATAGACTCTATTGATGTTCAATTGACAAGATCATTTTGAATTTATCTTTATATTATCGAGTGTTGTGAGCAAATTATTAAATTTTTTAAAGTGAGAGTGACACATAGGCCTGTAATAATCATCCATCCTCCGATGGAAGAATCTAGGGAATCAATTGTACTAATAAGAATTTCGACTCAAAATTCTTCTAAATCAAACGTTTCTTCAATCAATACGATGGGGGCATCTGATAAACCGTGCGGTGGTGTGAAACTTTTTCGTGTCATAGCAAGAAGTTTAGGATGGGCTCACAAACATCAAGTTGAATTAGACGAAGGTTCTAGATGTTCCAGCAGTGACTCTTTCTATTCGTCAGCTAATAAATTGACAAAAGGAGAAAATTGTTTTTCTGGTGGGTCTTCGGGAACTGATCTTTGTTATTTAAATGGACAAAATGAGAGCTTCAGCTTGGAGAACGGATTTGCGTCGGGTTCGAGCAGCGATACTGGCAGCGAATCAGCTGGACAGGGCACGAGAGAGCGGTCGCGACGTACGGATTCTTTTCGAAGAGCTTTCCAAAAACTGACCATTACTAGATCGCAGAGCACCGATGGACTTTCGACAAAAACGACGAAGCGAAACAAATCAGTTACGCCTAAAAGAATTCTTAGGTCTCCTGTCACGTACACTTACGCAAGGGGAATGTCGGGTTTGCCAACTCAAAGAATACCAAGAAACACCCAATCAAGATCCTGCTGTTATAGCCCACAGAAGACGAGATAGATTTCGCGGTTTAGGTTAACCGTCGTAGTCAACTATGCGAAAATATTGGTATAATGCGTATAATATATACGATTTGGACCAAACATGGTAATCGGTTGAAATCGTTCCATTGAAAGCATGATGAGCGATTGGCGAGTGATAATATAAAAGACTGTACAGCGTATATTACTTTTAGCCTCGAAATTTAGAAGATTATTCATAATCTATGTTATTAGAAGCAAAGATTTCGAATAGAATATCTTCGAATTTTTGGTCGAAATCCTTTGTTTTGTTGAGAAATTATTGATAACAGAACAGTTGCTAACATTCAAATAATGTATTTAATTTTTTATATCTTATCATAATTTTTATTTGCGTATATATATATATATGTATGTGTGTGTGAAATGAATTAATTAGTATAATTTCTAATATATAACATAAGCAGGTATATATCGCATTTATAGAATGTAAGATTTTATAAATATTTTTTACTATAAATAAAATAAAACATCTTTATATTACAATTTATAAGCATTTTCCTGTCTGCGGGATAAATAAAACTTTAAATTTCATAGGACACTCATGCTGACAATGAGATTTACATAACACTATCGATCTAGAAAATGTTTATTTATTATTATTATTATTATTATTTAAACAACAATTGTCTTACTCGAAAAGCTAATAATAAATTTAATATTGAATTATTATTCTGTATAACAAAAGCAGTATATTTATAATTATTCAAGTTTCAACCAATGCACTAGTTATGATACTACTGCAATCCTATATATTAAAATAAAGAAAATTTGAATCAAAATGGTTTTTGTGCATACTGTATTATTTGAATATTTTCCAGAAGGTCAAATTTAAAGCAAAGGTTCAATTTTACAGATGAATACTATTTGATATCGTTTTTTATAGTCACAATTATGTTTTAGGTTTTTACGATTCTTTTATTCAGACATTAGACCTATTGGGATTCATCTTTAGTTTATTCTGATTTTGTAATGATATTAAAATTAATTTTATTATTGCTTTATATATATATATATGTATATATATATGTGTATATATATATTTATATATATGTATATATATATGTATATATATATATATATATATATATATATTTTATTATTATATATATATATTTATTCTATATTGGTGTTTATATTAGTAAATAAAATTTTCAATTTGTTGTAGTTGCTGAATGATGACACGCATCTTGTGTCGAAACGTATAAATAAAAGTTTTTAATACTTTATACTTTTTTTATTTCGACGAATGGGCTGCTAGTTACTTTGAAATATGTTTCAACGTCGAAAAAACTCTCAAGATATATATATATATATAAATTGAGAGGTTTTTTCAGATGGTGAAATATTATAATAAAGTTATTCTTGGGCGCCTATCCATTAATTAAAACTATTTTATTAAAGTAAAATGTTTTATTATCAAACGTTTCGGGTCCTGATTTGACCCTTCTTCAGTGCATATAAATAATTTGAAGAAAAAACAAAAGAACACGGAACATATAATGCACCAATTACTATACAATTTTCAAAGCACGAATTTGAAAAACTGTTAAAATAAAATAAATATTAAATTAAAATAAAATAAATGAAAAGGTTTTAAAAAAAGAATTCTTCTCATCAAGACTAGTAAAACTTTTTCCTAACATATAACATGTCTCGATTAAAGAATTTTTTTATCGTTTTCTTTTCAGATTATCTATAGTTTACGCATGCTCCTATGATGTTCTTAAGTATTTATCGTTTTTTATTTAATTATTATTTTGAATATTTAACGTTCACCTAATTTATTAACGTATTTCACCATGTTTGATTTAACTTTTTGCCATCTTTTCGCCCCCGTGCCCGGATGCCAGTTATGCACACAATTTTACCTAATATAGTATTGATGAGGTCAGGGACCCGTAGAGGTGGTCGTGACGCTACGGCGCAACGGGCGCAACGGGCGCAACGGGCGCAACGTCATCGTGTCCCGCAAACACTTTGTCGCATTGCGCATATATTGCAATGCACTTGCTAAAGATAATATGAAGTTAATTGAGGATCTTTATTTGATGACAACTTTAAAATAAAGTTTATATACTTAAGGAAAAATACGTAAGCAAATTAGCATCTGCTTGTTAAATAAAAATACAATTAGTAACTAAATATATCCTGCAGGCAGTCGAAAACGCCTGAACAACAAATGATAATATTGTTAAGTAAACATTAAATCTCCCGTAGAGAATATAAAAAAGATTGTGAAAGCCTAAACTGAACATTCCAAAACCATTTGGGATTGATTGTTTTGTCTTATATAAGAATTTGAGAAAGTTATTAACAGCGTTGATTAGTTGTTATCTAATTGACAGAGTTAAAAGAAGGTTAAAAAAAGAGAAAGAAATGCATCAAAATAAAATATTATCCTTTTTATAAAAGTTTTATATAAAATTAAACTCTGTATATATGTTAATTACTGAATATAATAACAAAATGTTTTTATTTTATGTTTCCAAATCATTATTATGAATAAATGTAAATGCAAAGTATATATATATATATATATATATATATATATATATATATATATATATATATATTATAGAATTTTATGATATGAGTGGAACGAATATTAATTGTTTAATATGAACAAAACAGCACTCAGATTTGTTTAACACAACTTTATTTTATGATTACAGACGTTTCGAGACCATGGTGTGTCTCATCTTCAGTGTAATTTCAAAAACAGTTACTTATATACTCAGGGCCGGATTTAGAAATTTCGCGCCCTGGGGCACTGACAAAAATGCCGCCCCATCCCTAAATTTTTTACTTAAAATAGTTTATATATATATCATTTTTCTAAAATTAAAATAACTATTTGATTGCAAAAAAATTATTACGCATTACATAGTGTAAATAGTGGTGCTTGGCATCGTGCCTTAAGATAAATTGCTGAAACTTTCAGTACCAAAAATTAAAATTAAAAAAAAAAATTAAAGCGATCGGCCTGCGTAAGTAAGTAAGCGCCGCCTCGCAGAATAACAGATAAATAATTTTGCAGAACTCATAGAAATGTAAACAAAATTTAAATTATTAAAATATCTGATAATTTTATGTGCATATGGTTAATGATCATTTTTGACCGCCAAATGTTTCTCTTTCAATTTTTTTTATTGGGTCACCGAAACCGCTAGACCTGCCTTTCACAAACTTAATCAGTTCTCCATTTTGTCTATATATGTAAATTTCTTTTAATGATATTGGACGTTCCGTTTCTCAAAAAATGAATTATTATTTTTGGCATTTTGGCCCATATTTCCGAAACAGTTGGACCTGTCTTGGCCAATAACTAATCAGCACGTTTCGCTATCAATAAAAATCGAATTATTCAAATAAAATTCAATTTTAATAAGCTTAATAAATGAAACTTAATAATTTTCAAAAAATTTCGAACGTGCGTCACTAATTTAGTTTTTTTTTCATCGCTATGAGCTTGGAAGTGCACAAATTCGTCATCTTAAGAGGGCTCGAGATCTGAAGAACATCTTTATATTAGCCAAATTGCCAAATTTTGCAATGCATTTGTATAATGTTTTGTTAATTATATTTCTTGAAATTAAAAATGTTATTAAAAAAATTATTTAATTATATGGTATAGATTTTTTTTTCACTATCCAAATTTTGCTGCCCCCGAAAATTTGTAGCCCTGGGCAGTAGTCCCGACTCCCCCTACTGTAAATCCAGCACTGTATATACATGTATTTTAGAACACTTGAATAAATTGCACTGCACTGCATTATACATGTATAATAGAACTCTTGAATAAATTGAAAATATATTTTGATTTTAAAATTTAATTTTATCTTTAGTATATATAATTTCATACCAAGTACACAAATTTTTCATGTAGTCATTTTTTATTTTTTTATTTTCTTATAAATTACAATCTGTCTACATAGAAAGACATTGAGTAATTAATTTGACAAATGACATAGAATTTCAAAAGGAAAACCCAGAGGTCCACTTTATATTAATGTACTAAATTATGACTTAATTAAAATTAGGTATATGTATCCATATAATCACTATAATCTTTCCAAAAGATATTCAAAATCTTTTAAGACTGAATTTATTTGTTTATTTTCTTCAAAAATCCAACTGTATATAAACAATGACAGGTTTTCTGTGATTTTGCCAACACTAGCGCTATCAATTGCCTAATACCAAAAACTATTTATTGATAAGATAACAACCAAAGATAAATGATTTTATCATTGATAACGATCTATGACAGAAATATAAGATTTGAATTTGAATATATGTAGGTAACGACATAAACATAACGACATAACGAGTATGACGAGTAACGATTAATATTGTTTTGGCGCCTTTTTGCCCCCATAAAAGCTGGCACAGAAACAATGTTAAGTCTTTTTGTGTTGAGACCTCGTGGAGTTACTACAGTGAAAGGTAAGTCATTTATAATAACTAATATTATTCTAAAACTGTTTTCAAGTAATTTCTAAAAAAAAATCATATATTCAGTTTCTTGAATATATGATTTATGCATGGTGTTTGCTTGCGTTTTGATTTATTTAATTTTGTTTAATGAATTATAAATAAAAAAATGGAAACCGTTCATTATTTATATAAATCGATTTATGTTATTTTTTCTATTTCAAAATAATTTTTGCCGAAGAGTTTCTGTAATGGTTTTGAAATAACTCTTTGGCCAAAATTATATTAAAATATTGAAAATAATGTAAATCCAGTAATATAAATAAAAAATGGTTTTCAAACTTTTTTTAATTATAATTCAATAAAAATAAATCAAATCAAAGCGCAAGTACATATATACAGATATATGTATGTACATATGTATCTAATGTATATTGTATATATTTTATACAATATACAAAATTTTAAACAATATAAATAATTCCAACTGTAGAATTTAGGTATGATTTTATGATATAAAATTCAATTTTTTATATTTTATTTGAATATACATTTTAATTTAAATATTGAATTATTAAATGAAAAATAGAAATAAGAACATATGAAATATATACTGCATATGTTCTTATTTCTATTTTCCATTTAATAATTCAATATTTAAATTAAAATGTATATTCAAATAAATTTAATAATTATTTAATAATTAAATTTAATTTAAAAGGTATTTAATAAAATTATACATATATATGTATAATTTTAATAAATACCTGTATAAATTTTATTAAATTTTATAACATTAAACTATGAGTATTGTATAATAATTGTACAAAATAATTTTAATTGAAAATGGCTGATATATTTGACTACAAAGTCAATAATAATGAAAAAAAGATTAGAATTAGAAAACTATTACAACATTAAAATTTATATCTGAACTTATGTTGGAATTATTTGCAATTGACTTTTTATAATTATTTAATGTAGTTGTTTAATTAATTTTTAATGTAGTTCGTTTCTTTTCAGATTTTATACAGTGCCAATAGTGTTATGTGCAGTAGTGAATAATAACTTCGGAGGCTTATTGTGCATTAAACTTTTTTTAATATTAATTGTAACTTAGTTTATTTGATATAGTGTTAAAAGTAATTTTTTATTTACCATTTTGCGTTATTTCGAGTACATGGTCCACACTTTTTTTTTTTTTTTAAATTTTCGAAAAACGAACGAATCGTATTATGATGAAAATTGCGCGTTTGAAGCTACGTTCCTGCCGCCTACCCCCCACGGCAGGTCCAAGTAGTCGGGTTTCACATTTAAATTTAATTTATTAATTGAATAATTTTTGTTTTGTATCTCTGAGTGTATGGACCCCTGCGTTGTTTTCCCAGAAGCACCGCAACCCCATGCACATAATTTAACAATTAATATTATTTGTTTGCAATTATTATTAAATTTAATTTTTTAATTATTTCGCTAAGTGGCCCATGGAAAAAAATAATTTTTTTTTAGATTTATAAAATTCTATTATAATGTTTTCAACTTACTTTGATTACTTTTCGTGTCGTAATGTAATGAACACAATTTCAAGAATTAACTTTTCTTTTACTGGTCGCACAATGAGTCTCCTGGTGGAAGATGCTGAATTTATAAGTGGTTGAACTTGGCAATTTTCAGGACATGGTAAGAAACTCTGAGCTATGTACAAATCTTTTTAATATTGATAGAATTAAATAAAATTTTAATTTTAGGTTGAACACAGAAGTTACCAGAGGAATAGATCCTAAAACACTATTACTAAAACGGAAGAATGTTTACCAGGACGTTAGTGATTACCAGTGTACAAGGATAGAATGGACTACTTTGCAACCAGGAGCGCACAAGACCAGAAGAACGTTTGTTATATTCAGATAAGTTTGTTACTTACTAAGATAGATCACTTTGCTAAGTAGGATGGACCACTTTACCACCACCAGGAGCACACGACCAGGAGAACGTTATGTTGATAAGTATCTTACTTGCTAAGATAGATCATAAGATATTAGTTTTTTGCGATCATTTTCTATATTATTTTGTTATATTAAGATATGTATCTTACTTGCATGCGACGATAGATCATAAGATATTAGTTTTTTTGCGATCATTTTCTATATTATTATATATTATATATATATTATTATTTTATCGGGGCCCCATTTACGTTTTCATTCTTTATATTTGATTCGTGGACGGATTTATATACATATTATAAATAAGATATATTTTGGGCAAAATCGTGTTAAATACAGTGCCAGACAGTGTTGTGTACAATGATATATCGTGATATATACAGTGCAAAACCTTAATATTTACAAATCAAGATCAAGATATAATTCAAGATCAAGATACATACAGTGAAACATCAACATCAAGATCCATACGAGATGAAGATACATACAAGATTAGAACCAACCAGAAAATTGACTACAAAATTGGAGGACGTACACATGGATATATTATTAAGTTAAAATTAGGTTAGAATACATTAGGCTGGTAGTTTACTATTTTTTATTTTAAAAATGGGTGGGGAAGACGGCAAGGACCTTCCAGTTTGCATAGATTTCGCGTTTTTTCACAATTATTTAAAATTAATTCATATAACAATACTTAATACACAATTTTATGACCTTTATAAATGCACTCCTCTATAAGCTTCATAGTGCTGGGAACCTATGAAGTTAAAGTATTTACATGGTGGATCTTAGGGGGGTACATCATGTAAATACTTTTTTTTTCTTTTTTTTTTCTTTTTTTTTCTCTTCATTACAAAATTACCTTTAATTACAAAAGTACATTACAATTTTACCTTTAATTTCTAGCAGGTTCTTGCATCGTCTACGGTTTTTTCCTAAAGAAGATCTTCATATACATTTAATCATCTCGCGGGGTATTTTTCATGTTACATTTGGGTCATTTAAGTTAGGCTTAAATTAGGTTTAGTTAATTAATTTAAGTTATTTTGTAAGTGGACTAGGGCTGTACTCAATTTGTACGGCGACACCACATTAAAAAAAGCGCGCCTGGCAACTATACCTCCTGGGTGGTGTGGAAAATAGTTGCATCTTAGCTATAAGTATAATGATTATCAATTTAATTATTTTATTAATTATATTTAATTAATATATAAATGTGTAATGAAAAATGTAAAATACGCTGATGTTAAATGTCCAAATATTCAATATAATAAAACTTTTAAAATAATCTTTGTTTTTCAATCTGAAAATGTCCAATTTTAAGAACGTCTATATTACGTTTTGAACAAGTGTATGGTTTGGATAATAATATTATCATATTATTATGGATCATAATATTATGTTCAATTGTATTTTTGTTCCATCATTTTTTTTTATTTTGAATTTTTATGTTACTAATATAGAACTGACCTGATTTTTAGTACTTGTAACATATGTTACTATTAGTAATAGGAATATTGTAATTGGACATAACATTATAATCCATAATAATATGATAATATTATTGATTTTGCAATATTTTGTCATAAAATATTGGTTCGATACCATAACAATATCAGTATCCCAATTATTTAAATTGAAACTTATTCAAAAGTTAGTTTAATAATTTGCTTGCTTTCTTGTACTGAGATTAGTCCTAAGAAAAAGTATTTGCCATAGTAATCGGTATTATTATTTTTGGCATTTTGGCCAGTATTTCCGAAACAGTTGGACCTGTCTTGGCCAATAACTAATCAGCACGTCTCGCTATCAATAGAAATCGAATTATTCAAATAAAATTTAATTTTAATAAGTTTAATAGATGAAACTTAATAATTTTCAAAAAATTTCGACATATAAAAAAAATTTTCTTTGAATTCAATTTTTATCATTTTTCAAAAAATTTTAAAGCTTTTTATAAAATGTAATTTTCAGTACGGAAAGTTTCAGTAACTTGCCGTAAGACACATAATTAATTTTTTTCGGCGCTATGAGCTTGGAAGTGCACAAATTCGTCATCTTAAGAGGTTTCGAGATCTGAAGAACATATTTTTCTTAAAGTTTCAACTCACTTACGAATCTTTATATTAGACTCTATTTTTAATAATTGGACAAATTAACTTATATGGAAAATTATTGCCAAGTAGGATCGTTTTAACTAATTTTATGTTTGTATCATAAAACAGAGGATCAGATAATAAAATAGCGTGATCTACAAGATTTAGAATGGTAGAAATTTAAATAAATTATTAAAGAATGTGTAGTATATAAGTAACTGTTTTTGAAATTACACTGAAGATGAGACACACCATGGTCTCGAAACGTCTGTAATCATAAAATAAAGTTGTGTTAAACAAATCTGAGTGCTGTTTTGTTCATATTAAACAATTAATATATATATATATATATATATATATATATATATATATATAATTGAAATTAAAGCGCATTTGACAGATAAAAATATTGAATCATAATGCTGTTTTTTAACATCTAAATTAATTTAGGTATTTTGCTTTTTGACGTCGTTAGTTGAATGGCAAAACTGTATTATTGGTGATTTTTGTCTTATTATTATGACAATACAGCTTTTATCACCATTAATATTCGGTATGACGTTCTCTGACGTCATAACGAAGTGACCTACTTTTGACGGTTCATTCAAGGGTCTTTCCCGTTCAGGTCGCTATAAATGGGGTAGCAATGTGAAGTCCTTGGATGCTTTCTCTATGTTGCCGGTGTCGGTCCTCTGCCTGCATACAGATATATAGGTCTAACGCGTTGTGAATGATTTGCTCCTCCAGAATGACAGGGATTCGTGACGTCGATAACAAAACGAGATTATTAAAATAAAATTGGTTTTAATTTTAAGGTCTCTAATTATATTTCTTTGCAATAAGTGAACATCAGTTGTTATGATGTTTGACTACATTGCATAAACATTTCATCAATTTTATTTTAATAAACCAATTAAACAAATAATTTTTATTTTTTGTCACGGTCTGATATAGCAAATCATGGTAGTCTTATGTTTGTAAACTACCGCGTTGTTAGAATAATTGAACCAAATTATCTGTGAACATGAATCTGTAAATTAACGCCAAAAAGACAAATAGGTCTTGGTGGCTGATAATGGACAAACGACCACAAATGGTTAATGTTTGGTATTACAATTTGATGTCTAAAAATATAAGTATACTGCAATCGATTGCAAACGGAGCCATCAAGAAAACATATAATTGCCCACATCTCACTCAACAGAAAAGCTTTCAAAAGAAACGACGTATCAGTATATAAAATGAATGGAGTTAAAAAATGCATCCTAATACATAAAATTTATTGCGATATAATCAAGACATGTACCATGATTGAAACAAATCAGAACATTCGTGGCTAGGCGGATACAAAATTGTTTACTCTAAACAATAATATCATATATTCATATGTTTATATTATTATATTATTACATGTTTATAAAATTACAGTTAATATTTTACAAACAGTTGATAATAGTTCAATCTCTAACATATTTAACAATTAGTATATATAAATTATATATAATAATTTTTAAATATATTAGAGATTGTTGATGTTGATATTATCAACTATTTGTAAAATATTAACTGTAATTTTTTACAACAGATAATTTGTCTAAACATTTATTTCAACAGATAATGTAACATTCCATGACGTCACAATATCTGGGTGAATTTGGTCTATGGGAATAAGTTTTATAACAACAAAGCGTAACGCAGTAGGTCAATGAAACGCCGCCGCCACCCTTACGCTCGCGCTGACCTACTTTCGTTCGAGGCCGCGCCGGCCGGTGACGTCATTGTGGCGTCATGACAAAAATACAAACCTAATTCGGATCTCGGATCTCGGATCTCGGATCAAGGGAGAAAACCCTTAACAAACACAAAGAATTTAAATTTACTTAGAAAATACAAATCTTACAATGCAATCAGGTACAAAATCATATTCATCTTGTGTTGTTAGTATCATTTTTTTAAAATTATTATTTATTTGATTATATATATATATATATATATATATATATATATAATTATAACATAGAGAAACAAGTAAATAAAATTTTCAAATTGCTGTAGTTGCTGAATGATGACACGCATCTTGTGTCGAAACGTATAAATAAAAGTTTTTATACTTTATACCTTTTTTATTTCGACGAATGGGCTGCTAGTTACTTTGAAAATATATATATATATATATATATATATATATATAATATATTAAATGGTAGAGTCTTGGATTTGTGTATAATATATATATAATATATGCATATATACATATATACACCTATTCCCCGCTTTACACTGAAAAAAGGTTGCATAAAAAACCGTGTAACTCGAAAAATTTCTTCTTATATATGTAAAAAACGTCCTATATAAAATAACTATAAAATCTTTTTTTGTCGTTTTTTAATATGACGAATACTTTGACAATAACTTTCTGTTATTGTTGTAATCTGATCACTAAAACTTAACTCATGCATATTATATTATTAAATTTAATATTATATATGTGTATATCATATACACATATATAATATTAATTATTTATATGTGTTATATGTATTACTTTAATTATAAATTTAATATTATATATATGTATATCATATACACGTATATAATATTAAATTTAATATACAGTATATGTTACATATAAGGTTGTCAAATATCTCCCTTCCGCCTTTTTGTATTATAAACCAAGAGCAAAAAAGCGGAAGGGAGATATTTGACAACCTAATATAATGAAGGGTTTTCAGATGGTGAAAGATACATTAAAATGATTTAAAGCATTCATCCAATAATAAAAAAATATATTTACTGTTTTGTCATTATGTATTAATTAATGTTATATATTTATCTTTTATATTTTCCTTATTATTTTAACATCAATGACTTATTTGCAGTTTTAAAACATTTTACAAGCTCATGCTTCTTTGGGTTATGATAAGACATTTACAATTTCAACAACATTTCAACACATATGGTGTTAAATAATAAAATATATATATATATATATATATATATATATTATAATTATTATCATTTAATATATTTTTAGAAGGCAGCTGTTGTGTTCACATAATTGAATTCTTTGTGGCTCTGCGCTTTTTATGTGGATTATTATGCCAAGCCTCAAGCTTTTTAATGTCAGCACATTAATTGAT